ATTGTTTTGCAACGAATGCTAATATTGTAAACCATATGCGGAATCAAATCCGTCAAAGCGAGAGATGTATTGTGAATGCCGTCTATTATAACGGTTTGACTTTTATAGTTATGATTAGAACTTTGAGGTACTTTCCAGTGATACTGGACTTCATATACAATAACTTCGAGCAAGTCTTCGTCGTATTCTATATAATCGGGTGGTTTCCACACGAGTATAATCTGATCAGTGCTCACCTCTAATGGGCGCACATTTTTAGGTATATTAGGTTTAATAATACTGTAGTGGTCGACAACAAACACCTCAGAGTTCACACCGAACTGGTTCTGACCCGTGAGGATCAGATTGAACTTGAGAACTGTGTTCCGATAGGGAGGGGTCGTGTCTGGAGTCCATTCGCAACTGTTTTCGGTGGCGATACCGCAACCTCTTACCAAATAACTGCAATTAATTGACACATTATTTATAATTAGTTATCATTTTTGCAATAAACAAATGCCTTCTAATAGACTATTCATTAGTGTTTTCAAAAGCTATAAATATATCAAAAGTGTTTATTTGTATTACCAAAAGTCTAATGTAATCAAACATTACATCACAATAAGCTTTTGGAGGTTTTAATAAATATATTTATATAAACCATTTAAAGATATATTTATTAAAATATATGAAAAATATAAATAATTTGAGTGCAATTGGCGTAATAGTGAAGATATGGCTTACTTTGATGAACTAGCGGTGTGTACACTGTCTTCGAGGTGATAACTGGTTGGTATGGGATTCGGGGGCGGAGTCCACGAACAGTGAAGTCTGCGATAATGCAAACTAATGCACTTGAAGTTGGATACGGGTTGAGGTTTGACTTGAGATAAATATACAAATCATACATGAAAATCAAATCAATAATCATTCATTCGTGGTTAATGTCATACATCCTACGAGCACATGACTGACACACACGAGCGGGTGGTGATCGAGACCAGAGATGTTGAGCATACAGAAGTACATGCCGTTGTCGTCGATGGTCGCCTCATTCACCACCAGTTGGGCGGCCGTCGGACTAATCATACGAATCTTGTCTTCGTTATAGTATTGGTTCGCGAATTTGAATGAAATCATCGATGAATTCACTTCATAGACATTGTTATCGTATTCTATTGTGTTATTATTTAGTGAGCACTCGAGTAACAGTTGGCTACCATTTAACAGCTTTTGGTCCGGAGTCATGGCTTCAATCAAAAACATATATCATTTTAATTTAATTATTTTAATTACAAAATAATTACAGACTACAGACACACACAAGTATAGCAAGTTCTATAACAAATTATAGGCTCTATAAACAAATTTACCTAATATTTCAAAAAACAACATAAAACTTACAATTTTAATATAAAAAGTTGGTAAACCATTAATTAGAATAAATATATTATAAAATATATATAATTACCAATAAAATAGTAATAAAATTTATTTATTCATCTGTCCTATAGATTTTTAAATGTGATTATAATGTAAAGAATGTAATGAATAATAAACCAAACAATTTAGATATCATATTAATTTAATGCGAAAATAAATTTTAAATGATTTGATAACAAATTTCTTAAAATTTATGGCCAAAAAAGAAAAAGTAAAAACAAATATCTTTTTTGTAATATTCTAATGAACTGTAAAAATTAATAGAGAAACAGAAAAACAGCTCAAAATAATCGACAAACTGTCAGAATATATGAAATGAGTTGACATTTGTTTTGATTATACGGTGTTTTCATCGGAATTGTTATAATATTATAATTAAAATAAATGCAAATATGTTTACCTCCGATGTTAGTGGCGGCGGAACCCCAACAGCACTCGACCACAGGTAGTAGTGATGAGGTATAGATTGATATCAACGCTATGCTCACGACCAACACATTCCCCGCATATTTTTTATAATACATTTTTGTATAAATTAAATATAATTTCTTCTTAGTATTGCTTTTAAACGTATTATTTATTAAATACGTTTCGTTCACATCTTCACAACAAATGGCAATGTCTTAAACAACAACAGTGTTTAGTTGACATTCAGTAGTAAAGAGTTGTTGTAATGTTGTATTGCATCTGAAAAAGAGAGAAATTTTACAATTTAAGTCACAAACAGTATAATAAAACAAATGAACACTAAAATGGATAAACAAAAAGTGAAAGCCAGTGAAAAAAGCAAACATTGGACAGACTTTCAAACAGTTTTGCAGAATTGGTGCTAATGTTGGCCAGAGTTATGGTTAGTGTAGAGGAGAGGGATATATATTTCGCAAGACTTTGCAAATCACAGATTAGGAGGCATTCAATTGCTTTAAAGTTTAGGTCAAATTACTGATAGCTTTAAGCCCTAAGTGACGGACTATTACTTAATATATTATGTAAGACATTGTGACCAATGGTAAGATCAAGAGAAAAGATGTTAAAATAATCCCAAATTCCCAACTCATAGAATCGGAGGGAAAACTAGTTATAAGAGAGGACACGAAAATACCTTAAAACAACTTCTTTAATGTCTATGAAAATAATGTTTAAATATATTTTAGAGTACTTTATAGTGAGAGGAGAAGTGTTTTTGAAGACGAGTCGCTGGAATGGCTTTAAGGGCTAATCGTCTAAAACATTTCGAGCGAACACTAATGTAAACCAGTATTAAATAAATTATAAACAGATATTCACTGCCAGTACTAAAATATACAGTATATACACATTCAACACAATATATTCAACACTAAAACTAAAGTATTCTTCAAACCGTAAGTTCAATATTAAAGCCACGCTTTTTGACAGAGAGTCGGGGACTGGGAGTCTAGCGCTCAGTTCACTGTTGCCCTGAGTTAGTGCTGTATTCTTAGTGTTTTGTGTTGTGTTTGCCATAAGATAACAAAAAAGGTCTCAAACCAGAGCCAGAGTATGAGCTCCAGAGAGGGGGAGAGAGAGCCTGAACTAAACTTATTGGTCAGACTTATGGCACATTTCATTTAACAACTACTCCTAAAACGCTTTAATTTATTGCCTTTGAATTCATTACTTGTTTTCAATGCGAATCCACACCAAAAAAGCTTCGGCTAAACGCGAATTCATTTTTGAAAATTTTGTTTTTCTTAAGTAAAATAAATCTCACAAAAAGTTTACACAATCGTTAGACAGACCCCTAATCTAAACACAAAACCAATACATTTATAACTTTTGGACACAAACATCAAGCCTTGAGATAAAACACATTATAATCAACTCATTATAATAAATAAGGATTAATACACAAATTGTCTTATTATTAACTTTTAGCGGTTTAGTGAGAGATTCAGTGAATAACAGCCAAAAAATAATAGTTATTTATACACTAAAAATATATTCAATTAAATAAGAAAAATGTTTTCACAGAAAGAAAGTGAGAAAAGCCATCAAATTGTTTGTACTAAAACTGGTCGACAATTCACTGCAAATATACAAACAATAAGCAAAAAAGTGGACAAATTATGTGCAAAATAGCAGTCAAAAGGTATAGTAATGTTTGCATTGAAAAAATCAATTGTTTTTTAAATCATTTGGGAATACATTTGCTGTGAAATTACATAATGAATGTTAATATAAATAATCCATTTATTTGATTGAGTGAATCGCGATTTTAAAAGCACTTCAAAACACATTTCAATTATAAAATTTATATCAAAATAAACATTGATTTCAACAAAACAACAAAAATTAGCAAAAAAATCAATTTTCACAAGTTTTTCAACAAAACTCCACTATATTTTGACTCTCGGTTTTCAAAACAAAAAATAAATAAACATTTTGTATATAAATATAGTTTTATAGTTTAAAACACAACTTAATTCAAAGCCATATATTGTGTGCACTTTTAAAAACACATTTTAAAACAAATGATTTATAAATCTAATGGCATTTGTATAACACAATTGTCACTCTATTTGGACAATCAATGTCTAACTTTCAATACAACATTCAATGTCAGTCACTAATCATATAATCATAACTAAAAGTTAATTAAATTGTTATATAATTATATAAAACAATTAAAAATACATGAAAAACAAGTAGTCGTTTACCTCTGGATTAAGTAATAGTTGTGTATAAAGTGATAGTAATTTGTAATTAACATAAAGTGTTGGATATGTCGGTGAATGTGAGCCCAATATATAACGTGAATAACGAAAATGTAAATAAATGTTTGCATTAAAACACATGAAAAGCAAATGTATTAATGGTTTTGAACGTAAGGTTAAGTGATTTGACGACTCATTCAATACAGTGTTTAACGCATAAAATGGCGATTCGTTTGCCATTCAATGCAATCGTCTATTCATTGGAGACAAACACTAACACAACAACAATCCGACCATTCATTACACTATAAACCCATTCAACTAAACACTCATTCATACACTGATTGGCTCAACACAAACACTAAATCCAATTCAATATACAATTAGTTAAATGAAATGACAAATAAATCCATACCTTAAGTATGTTTGTATGCGAGGGTTGTCTTCACAGTAAAGCACACAATGTTTTGTTGCATTTGTGTCCAATCGGGCGACCAATCAATCGCTAAATCACTGCTTAATTGCCACTCAATTCACTCCACAATTGATTCACACGTCGATTACGAGTGACTGTCAATCAAAATGAGTCCACTTTTGGCCACAATTTGCCGATTAATTCATTGCAATCTCAGCTGACATTTCAGGTCCGCAAATGTCCACAAATTACGTAACTATGCGTTGAAAGTGAGAGATATTGTTAACTGTAATGACTTAGCGATGACTACCTTATGATAACTACCAGCGACTGTGTGTTAGTCAGAGATATCACTATCACTGCTATTAATAAATTACTTAACATTTAATATACATGTCGTAAAAGCGAGTGCTATTCAAATATGTGGTCATATTTGGTTAATTGTCACTAAACTCAGGTCACTCTCTCTCTCTCTCGCACTCACTCTCACTGAACACTTGACTTTGGTTTGTGTTGTGACACATGTGTTGTGAATGCATTGAATCGCTAACACATCCGACACAACCATTGCCTTCCCATCACTTTTTGTTGTTGTTTTGTCGCTACAATTGTTTGAAACAAATCTGTTTAATACATATAACGGTATTAAAGTGTCATTTAAAGCAAACATTTTCACTACATTTCTATATAAGCGCCGATTAATCGGTAATTCATTTAATTTAATTATACATTTTGTGAAACAGCTTTTTGTATACAACTATTTTGGGATACTTTTAGCACTAATTTTCAAACTGATGTTAATTAATATAAACTCAAAACCTATCACTTAAATTGAAAATTTGCCTTAAAATATATCTTAATCTATAGACTAATTGCTCTTACATATGATTTCATATAATGTTTTGCATGAAATTAATTGTTTTTTCGCAAAAGTTGTCAAAACTTTTGGTGCGAAAAGATGTGTGAAGTTTACCACTAAAGCTAAAGCTCTTGATTTTTGCCGCTTTTTATGACTTGACAAGTGCTATGGGGTTGGGAATCAACTCGGGATGAGAGGGACATTTACATCTAGTAATGTAAATTACATGTAATATAGAATTTTATATTACATGTGACAGTCATATGACGTCATATAACGTCACATAGTGTAATATAGAAAATACACATTTTGCTTGAATAATGCTAATTTAGAAATCATGGCTAAATTTACAATACATTTAGGACTTGTATTTCCAATAGATTATCGAAACACACTTTTATAGGGCTATTATAATTGTATTTCAATTTATTTTTAAAATAATAGCGTTAATTACAATATCATAATTGCCTAGTTAACAGATGGCGCCAGAGCTATATTACACTTTTTGTAATATAAAATTTCTATATTACACTTTACATGTCATATAACTGTAATGTAAAGTGTTATATAACGTCATATGACAGAACTAACAACACTAGTCAGAAGTCAATCATAGAAAAACTTTTTCATTCAATGTTTTTTCCACTCATTTTTCCTCTCATTTTCTGTTCTGCTTTTTTAATGCAAATAATTGAGAGAACATCTCATCCCTATTGTTGTCTCAATTCATGGGAAGTCTTCCTAATTATGTTAAATATAATTTTTTTTTCTCGTTCTGTTTGGTTCTCCTTCTTCTCGGCAATAGTTTTGCGCAAAAGTTTACAAAAAACTAAATTCAATATAAAATTTATTCTAAAACACGACT